TGCTTTGATTTTATATATTGTGATTATTATTATTATTATTAGAATTATTATTAATCATAAGTCAATCACAATTCAGTTTTACATATTCTTACCGTCTGAATACCGTTGGGTATGTCGTAATATATTTCAATAGTGCCACAATGTGGATATCCAGGGAGATTTAACCTGTTCTTTGTTACTTTCATTCTTCCATCCGGTTGGTTCCCCTCCAATTTCCCAAACACCTCCTTGCACACAGGACAGATGGATCCCAGACTCTCCACTGACATCCTTATACATTCCTGACAGAATTCATGCCCACATTTCAGTTTTTTCTTGTTGGTGAAGCTGTCCATACAGATAGTACATGTCTCCTCTTCAGCATGAGCACCTTTACTGACATGTCTAGAATTGTCTTTTGAATCTTCATTGAAACTAGCATCTGCTTTGCCTTGCCCTCTAAACTTCACTCCCTCATCCTGTACTGCTCCACCCACTGCTCCTGGTCCATAATCAGGCGTCTGATTCCAGTTGATTCCTTTTGTGTGAGGAATGTCACCTGAGTAATCAATCGATTTCTTCATTTGGTCATCAAACACATTCCTCTGAAGTGTCTTCTCAATATCAGCAATGGCAGGACCAAGATGTTCTGGCAGTCCAACAAGCCTCCAGAGACTGAGTCTATCTGCTGCTGCAACAACACGATGCTGCTGCTGAAGTTTCTCTAATAGTGGTGCCACGTCAATTTTATCTGCAGGGTTTGTGAGTTTACAGCTGACAGTGGCTGAGGCAAGTTTCTGGTAGAGTTGTGTTAGAGCTCTGAGAGCATGACTTTCCAGATTAATATGCTGAACTCCTTTAGATCGAGCTTGAACATTAATTACATTTTTCTGCACTTTGTCTTCATGAAATGACACTCCATACTTTGTTTCAAGTTGTGACAATTGTTCTTTATAGGAAAGATTCATCAGATCCCAATGAACCTTGTCCATCTCAAGTTGAGTTGGAAGGTCCTTAGTGTCCATGTCCAGTGAAAACCTGCTTTGTGGAGAAACGTTGTT